TTAATTTACATCTGTGGGACCCTTCTTGGGACAGAAAGCTGGCTTTAATGGCAGTCTGGTCCCTTGCATGTACATGATTTTCATGTATATGATGAATTATGGCCATTGAATCCGTTTCTGATCTGAATCCTTGATTTGCACACCACTGGATACATTTTATTCCCGTGTGTTTCATTTACTTCAATGATTGCTGCGCACATGACAGGAAAGTGCTCAATTATGAATGGGAATCACATGATCAGCTTGTTAAAGTGAGCCTGAAGGCTTCTCTGGTGATGGCAGATTGAAACTCAATGGAAAAAGAAACAATAAACATTGGTGGCCATGTTACAGAAGCATGCTACCTATTAAATTAGCTCAAAGAAATAGAAGTTTGTCCTGAAGCTTGTCCAGTTTCACAAACACAATTTTACAGTGTGGTTTTAGGGTACAATGCAGAGAAATCCAACCACACTTCAATCCCAACAGAAGAAACCCTTCTCTTTCAAAGCTAAACTCTCAACTGCACCAAATCATACTTTCTACTTCCAAGCAATCGAAACTCAGCGCAAATTTGTAATGATGATTAACCACTGGCAAGGTTGTCTTGGGGAAAGGAACCTGATTCATTTGTCTTTCACACAAGGATTTTTTTAATGCAAATCTGTGAATTTCATCCAGCTACAACCATAGGACACTTCTGAGCTAGCGTTACAAGGAATTTTATGTGGAAGTTATTACTGGAGACCATCTGTTTTTCTTTAAGTTTTTTTAAAAAAGTATTTCAAGCTCTTCCTCGCTTTCATGGAACAGACTTCAAATTCTGACATAAAGTCAAATTTCTGTATTTCTGCATATCTTCATTAGGATGAAGTTTGAGCTAACCTCTATTCTAGAGGTGGGAACTCTGTCACCTTCAGGTGTTGTTGGATTCCAGTTTCTATCAACTTTAGTCAGCATCACTAATGATGAGAAATGCTCTGAGATGCAGGACAACAAGAGTTGGAGGGCTGCATGATTCCTGCCCTGGCTCTAGCAACTTCTACACCAGGCATGGGCAAACATCAGCCTTCCAGGTGTTTTGGACTTCAACTCCCACAATCCCTAACAGCCTATGGGCTTTTAAGAATTGTGGAAGTTGAAGTCTAAGACACTAGGAGGGCCGAAGTTTGCCCATGCCTGTTCTACATGCAAACACCCACAAGAGAAACTCAAGTGCCTTGTTAACACAGACTTGAACAAGTCGGTTCTTTGGATAGCCTTGCAAATATAAAGTTTTTGCATAAATCCCCTCACACCCTAGTGTGGTTATCTTTGAATAAGAGTCTGTGTTCAAAAGCATCTTGGAGCCTACTTGGAAATGCCTTTAAGGAAGGATGTGAAATACTATGATACACCATTTTATTAAACAAATTAGGCCCAGTTATGTGGTTTGTCTTCATGCTTGGTATTATACATATGTGGTGTAGCAACTTAGAATGCTGTGAGGAGACACTTTATGGTGGAGCCTAAGCCACATGGCAAATCATCATGTAGGATATGGCTCACTACATGGAGCAGTGGCCCCTTGAGATATTTTCAAGTGGTCTCTATGTGTCAGTTGTGTTTGTGTGTGTGTTTATGTGTGTGTGTGTGTGTGTGTATAAGTTCCTTCCATTATCATTATTATTTATATGCATGACAATTTTATATGTGGCACTGCCTGACACTATAATAAGTGTGTGAAGTTAGGCCATTATGTTTTACTTTTTATTCAAGAAGACATGAGGCGAACTGAGGGCCCTTCCAGATATGCCCCATATCCCAGGATCTTATCCCAGATTTTCTGTTTATCCCAGATTTTCTGGCAATTGGGACTTATTTAATCCAATATAAGCAGAAAACCTGGGATCATACCCTGAGGGCCCTTCCACACAGCCCTATATCCCAGAATATCAAGACAGAAAACCCTACAATATTTGCTTTGCACTCAGATAGTGTGGGATTTTCTGCCTTGATATTCTGGAATATAGGGCTGTGTGGAAGGGCCCTGGGATATAGTGACTGTCTAAAGGGGCCCTGAGAAGGGTTTGCTCAAGAAGGCCACCCAAGGGGTCTTTGAATGAGGAGAGTGCTGAACCACTGGCCAAGTTCCACCCTTTCCCTTCACTGAGGCCCACCAGGTTCCTTGCCACGGCTGTGATGTAATATAACACTCTCAAAACACTTCCCGACACCCTCCTTTGCAGACTCTGCGAAAGGGCACCGGGGTTCTCCTCTTTGATAAAAGCCATTGAAGAAAAAACTGTTTCTGAAGCGGCTTTTCTAAAGCACTTTGACACAATGACAAACAAACCCACGGCGCAGCCACCCTCCTGTCTCACTGCAAATTGCTGGCACTCTTGCCAAAGCAGCAGCAAAAGCCTATGCAGCGAGTGCTAACACACAGGCCCAAAGGAAAGACAACACAACCCACACAGACCAAACCTCTGAAGCAAAAACCGGAGGTGTCACAGCACACAAGCCTCCTCCTTTGGCTCTCTAAGGGAGCTGTCCATTTCAGCACCACGAGCCTGGAAGACTCTTCAATGAGAGAAACCCTCTTCTTCCTCTCTCTCTCTCTCCCCCCCTCCCCCCTTGCACCACAGAAAGACAGCCGTCAGGGGTAACAAACCGAGATGGTCAGCACCAGTATCGTTATGTTGGAGACCCATTATGGTAGATTGGCCCACCCAGCCTCTTTCCTATAGGTGAGAAGGCAACAAATGCGTGCAAATCATCCTCTCCCGCCCCCGCCTAGGAAAGCCTTTCGGGGGAAGCCGCTACCAAGCGCAGGGACACCGGGGTCACGGGCTGCCAGGGCCCACGAAAAGGCCGCAGTGGGGCCGGAAAACGGGCCGCGACATCCCAGTCCACACTCCAAAGGGAAGGCGACAGACACAAGCTCAACCCCAAGCCGCCATCCCACTCGTGGAATACGGATCACGGCTTTGGGGGGGGGGGGAGGCGTCTAGATGGAGGTAGATGGAGGACTCTTCCCCGCAGCCTCTCTCTGCCCCGCTCTCGATGCATGTCTTGACATACCCCTCCCCCCCGCTGGCCCTCGCAAAGAAAGGTGGTACCTTGGTCAGCCGCACCGGGGGTCTCTCCGGCCCTTTCCGAACTTTTTCGGGCGAAGGCGGGGGAGAGGAGGAGAGTCGACGCCACGGGCAGCCCCCTCCTCCTCCCCTCCTGCGCCGCTTCCCCCCTCCAAACTAAGCCCCGCTTCTGAACAAGGCGGGGGGGGGGGGGGAAGCGTTCAGGAAGGCGATGCGAAGTTACTTCCCTACCTAGCCTCCGGCAAGCGGGAGGGATTGCAGAGAGCCCCCTTTCCCTTCCATCCCCTCCTAAAGATCCAGAGCCAGGAGAGGAGGACTTTGCGGCGGATCGTCTACTGAAACGGGGGAAGGAGGGGGGGGGGGAAGGGAAGGCCCTTTTCAGCGGGGCTGAATGGTGCTGCCCTGCGCTAACCCCGCTGGGTCTGGTGCAGGCGGAGGAGGAAGAGGAGGAGGAGGAGGGCCCGGAGTCAAGGATGGGGTGCCTTGCCAAGAAAGACAGAGACCTCCTAATGGTGGAGAAGGAAGGGGGTGGCGGTGATGGGAAAGGGGGGGGGGGGGGGAGAATATGGCCCACTGCACCAACTACCTCAGCACCCCTGGTTTTGACATTTCTCTCTCTTTCTCTCGGCCTGGGCTCCCTTCTCTCCCTCCCTCCCTCCTTCGCTCCCGGCCTGCCTGCAGGACGAGGGAAGAGAGGAGAGGAGTCGGCGCCGGCTCGCCTTCCTTCCCCCAATGCAGAAAAGACGCGCCGGAGGTTGCCGCTGGGATCCGAGGGAGGCGGCGGGGGTGGGGAGAGGGGAAAGGGGGGGGGAGGGAGAGGAGAGGATGGGCTCTTCCCTCCGCACGAGGAAGAAGCAGCAGTCCCCTAAAAGAGGGGGGGGGGGGGGAACAGAGAGGAAGAAGAGGAGGAAAGATGAGATGGGGAATGGGGGGGGGGGGAAGGAGAAGATGGGCTCTTCCCTCCGCACGAGGAAGAAGCAGCAGCCTTCCAAAGGAGGGGAGAAGGAAGGAAAAGAGGAAGGAAGAGGAGGAAAGATAAGATGGGGAGGGGAGAGAAGGAGATGGTTGGATTTTCCCTCCGCACGAGGAGGCACCAGAAGCCCCATAAAATTGGGGAGAGGAGGCAGGAAGGAAAAGAGGAGGAAAGATGAGATGGGGAAGGGGGAGGGAAAGTAAATGAGAGAAAAAGTCAGGGAGAGAAAGAAGGAAGTAGTGGGGGGAGGTGACCACGACCACGACGTCTAAGGGACGCTTTTTTGGGGGGGGGGGCGTCTGAAGGAAGGGTTGGGGGAGGAGGGCCGAGGATGAACGGGAGGGGGAGAGGAAGAGAGTCAGTGCAGGAGGGGGAGAAAGGCAAGGAAGGGCAAGGCCGCCAGAGCCACGGGGTGGGAGGTCTAGGGGTCCCCAAGAGGGGGGAGGGGGAGAGGGTCTGGGAGGTCCAAGGGGAAGGAGAGAAGGTGAAGGGGAGAGGAGGCCCTCGCTCTGCGGCAAGGGGGTGGGTGAGAGACAGAGAGAGACAGAGGGGGAGGTTTCCATGGAGGCGGTCGGGGGGCTCCCTTTCCCCCTCCTCGGCGGGACACTTACGGTGGCGGCGGCGGCCGTGGCGGCGCTAGCGCGACTCCCGCAAGGCGTTGCTGGACTGCAGAGGTGGGGAGGCTGCAGGAGGAACTGCGGTTGCCGCCATCTTGGTGCGCTGCCTCCCTCCCCTCCTCCCTCCCTCCCCTCCTCCCCTCTCCTCCTTTCCTCCCCCAGCGCAGCGCGCCCTGCCCTTGCATAATTGATGACTCGCCGCGGAAGAGGAGGCTCGCGGAGCCCCGCCAAAAAGGAGACCAAGCCCAGCCCAGGCAGCGCCGACGGGGCCGAGACACCCTCCTCCTCCTCCGCCTCCTCCTCCTCGAAGACCCTCGCGGAAAGTTCGACGGAAAAGTTGGGAGGCCCACTCACTTCGGGACGCGCCTTCTCTCTTTTGGGGAGGCCCGAAAAGCCCCTCACGGCCGCGTCCGAGGCCCGCTCCTGGACGGCTTCCCTCCCGCCCACGCCTCGCCCATTTTGGGACCGAGAGGCGGTTACGGGGGGAGTCTGTCCCGTGAATAGCGAGGGAGAGGCCGCTCTCTTTCTCTCTCTCTCTCTCTCTCGGTTTCTGTGGCGGAAGGAGGCACTGGCGGGGCTTGGCTCCCACCCCAGGAGAAAAAGGCGGGATCGCAGCTCAGGCAGGCCTGAGGGCCCCAAAGAGCCCCTCTCTGTGATGGACAGCGACGCCGACCAATGGGCAACCTCCCCGCAGGAGGGTGTGGCACAAGGAGTACTACACCAGATATGGGCAAACTTGGGCCCTCAGGGTGTTTTGGACTTCAACTCCCACAATTCCCAACAGCCTCAGGCCCCTTCAAGGGGCCTGAGGCTGTTGGGAATTGTGGGAGTTGAAGTCCAAAACACCCTGAGGGCCCAAGTTTGCCCATGCCTGTTCTACACCATGGCATGAATACAGTGTGACACTTTTGCTGCCATGGAAACGTGGGAGCTGGAGCTTCCTGAGGCACTCTTTGGCGGAGAGAGAGAGAGGCCTAAGACCTTTGTCAAAGGGCAGCTCTAAGGATTCCATAGCATGCAGCCCTGGCAGTTAAAGTGGTGTGAAACTACATTGATTCTATGCTTTAGATGCAGTCAGTCGAAAGGTTGATAGTTTGAAGCCCAGGTCGGCCTGAATGCCTGGCCTTTAGCCCAGCTTCTGCCTACCTAGCAGTTCAAATACAATTATAAGTAGGTAAATAGGTACTGCTTTAAAGTGAGGAGATATTTAAGGCACCCATAAGGAGATGCCAGTAAAATGCCAGCGATTTGTTCAAGGAGGAAGTTTACAAACAAAGCTCTTTGGCAGCCCCCTCCCCCATGGCCAGAACTGAGCACAGCCTCCAAGGTGCCAAATATGGGGAAGTCTATATATACTAGCTCTATCTATGTACAATTTTCTGTCTTGTCAGTGTATAACAGCATTGAATGTTTGCCGGATATGTGTTCTGTGATCTGCTCTGAGAAAGGTGGAATATAAATCTTCTATATAAATAAAAATGTAATGTTTGTGGGATTAACATAACTCAAAAGCCACTGGACAAATTGTCACTAAATTTGGACACAACACACCTATTAGGCCAATGAGTGACCATCACTCATAAAAATACCGAAAAATACAGCAGAAGGGACTTAAAAGCCAAAAATAAAAAATTACATTACAACGCATATGCAAACCCACAGCAACCACACATATACACAAGTATATATATACACACATATACACACACAAAATACATATACACAGACTGGGCCACAGCAACGCGTGGCAGGGGATGGCATATATATATATATATATATATATATATATATATATACATGTAATGTTCATTTGTGGGATTAATATAACTCAAAAAACCCACTGGACAAATTGACACCAAATTTGGACACAATACACCTATCAGGCCAACAAGTGACCGTCACTCATAAGAACACTGAAAAGCACAGCACAAGAAACTTAAAAAGCCCAATAGTAAAAAATACATTACAGCACATGTACAAAGCCACATATATAGACATATACACAAATATATATACACACATATATACACACACAAAACACGTATACACATATTGGGCCACAGCAATGCACGGCAGGGGGCAGCTTGTAAAAAATAAATAAAAGATCAGGAGAAGCATACATCCCAGAGCAAGAAAGAGTTGAACAGAGGGGCTTGAAGTCACACCAAGAAACTCATTTGGAAAAAAGAGAAAGAGGCATCTTCTACACTGTAGAGTTCATGTTGTTTGCCCTCATGTTAACTGTCACCGTTCAGTGCTGTGGAATTATGGGAGTTGTAGTTTGGTGAGGTACCAGCACTCTGGCAGAGAAGACTAAAGACATAGTAAAAGTACAACTCCCACAATTCCATAGCATTGAACCATGGTAGTCAAAGTAGGGTCAAATAGCATTGATTCTATGCTACAGATTCACCAAAGTTCAGAAGTGGAATTCAAGTCCATGCTGCTCAAGCCTGCAGTCCTCAATGAGATGCAACTAGATTGCATTAGGCTAGGCTGAGAGAATCCCTCTCCCTGGCGCCTGAATGTCTGTTGAAAATATTTGCTTTTATTTAATTAGCAAAGGACAAAGCCCATAAACTACAGATAAGGCAAGCACCTTTCCAATGAAAAGAGGGGATGATACACACAAAACTGGGAAACTGAATGTTGTGCTTTCTAATGTACCTGTATGCATTACCTAAAAGCAAATAAAGCCCATGCTTCTAGATGTTAGAGCAAGGTGCACATTTGTGCAAAATGCAAGTTGATGCATTTATGCTTTAATGGATTAATTGACAAACTAAGATTAATCGATTAATTGACCCTAGGTTGAAAAGATAATCTAGTCATGACTTTGTATTCTTCTGGACAGACTTATTGGAAACTTGTTCTTCATCATTTGCAAATAGTTAGAAAAAAAGAATACAATGATTAGGAAACCGATGTAGGAATCAGATGCTTAGAGCAGATCCATGTCACTTCAGTTTGTCATGACTTACTTGTCCCACTGAAATCAGTCAATTTCTATTCAGTATGGCTAAGGCTTCATCTATATTGTTGAATGAATGCAGTTCGACATCACTTTAACTGCCATGCCAAGGAGCCCCCGGTGGCACAGTGGGTTAAACCCCTGTGCCGGCAGGACTGAAGACCGACAGGTTGCAGGTTCAAATCTGGGGAGAGCGCGGATGAGCTCCCTCTATCAGCTTCCAGCTCCTCATGCGGGGACATGAGAGAAGCCTCCCACAAGGATGATAAAAAAACCATCAAATCATCCAGGCGTCCCCTGGGCAACGTCCTCGCAGACGGCTAATTCTCTCACACCAGGAGTCACTCCTGACACGACAAAAAATATATAAAATAAATGGCTCATTATCACCTGAATTAATTGTAACATTATTTCCCAACTTATTTGGTGCTAAGGAAATAGACATTCAAGCTCCTTTCATGCTATGTATTTATAACCCTGTGATTCTGCTTTAACTGCTGCAGTTCCATCCCTTTTGCAGTCTGCAGTCCCGAGACCTCAGTCCAGAAGCACCAAAAGAGCTCCCTGAATGAGGATTCAAAAGGACCCTGACCTGCAAATCCCAGGATACCACAGGATGTTGCCATGGTAGCTAAAGGGGAATGGCAGTGCTGTAACTGTGTAGAGTGAAATGAGCACTGGAGTTATTTTATTAGATACAGAAAGCAGTTTCTAATGTGCATTTGTTAGAATGTCACATCTGGTGAATGCTCAACTTTGGTTTCTCTCTCTCTCTGTGGAAAGAAGATTGGGAAGGGCAGTACATGGGCATATGATGGGAAAGTTTTGCCATTGCTCTCAGTATCTTTTGCTCCCAACTGTTCCAGCTGAATTTATACTGGTAAGTAATATTTTTGGTCTTCATCTTAAAAGAAGAATAAAAACCAGTACAAGTTTGATTGTTCGGCTAGGGAGTTTGTTACGTGAGATTGTATTATCGCAACCATAATGTTCTTAAAGTAAACAGAAATGTACCAGTATTGAAACATTCACTTTCACACTGCCGTTTCACCAGTGCTTTGGTGCTTCCTTGTTGACTATGACTCCTGTTACTGGTGTTCCACATAATGTTGATTTTTCCCCCTTTCTTTCTGTGTACGGTCCTCTCGATCACATGCATCCTTTAAAAAGTACTTCACCATAACTGTGCAACCTCACAGAGCAGGAAGAGGAATAATCTCCACTGAAATGTGAATACCTTCAATAACTGTGACAAGAGAAGTCATAGCACAAGGATTCAGTTGCGCCACAGTGGCATTATTTGGGCTATTGACACTTTGAGTGTGAGTGTAGAGTATGAGTGTAGAAATATGAATAATAATAATAATAATAATAGTAATAACAATAAGAACAACAACATTTTATTTATTATCTACCTCGCTTTTTGGCTTGAGGTGAGGCACAACATAGTCAAACGCATCTATAAAATCACATATTAAAACGTAGATAAAAAGCAACCATAAAAACATATAATAATAATAATAATAATAATAATAATAATAATAATAATAATCTTTATTTATATCCTGCCACCATCTCCCTGAACTGACTCAGGGCGACTTACCAGGGTACACATATAACATACAACAGGTTAAAATGGTGCAAAAGTACAAAACAAATTACATAAAATTATATCAACAACCCCGTCAACACATGTAGCATAAAATCAAAATAATACAATTTTAGAACAACAGTAGATAAAACTAATGGCCACCAATTCACAAGGTGCCAAGTGTCAGCTTCATATGGGCTGATTCAGCCTACTCAAGGCCAAAGGCCTGTCTGAACATCCATGTTTTCAGATTACAATGGAAGGATTGAAGGGTAGGGTATATATCTAATATATTTTGGGAGGGTATTCCAGAGCTGGGGGGCCACCTCAGAGAAGGCCTTCTCTCGTCCCCACCAACTGCTCTTGAGATGGTGGTGGGACTGAGAAAAGGACTTCTCCTGTCAGTCTAAGAGCCTGCACCAGTTCGTAGAAACATACACAAAATACCTGAGACTTTATAACACAATAAACATAGAATGTGATTCAAAAGTCCGACTTAAAGCTAACTGGATAGGCCTGCTGAAAGAGAGAGGTGTTACATAGGAAAGGTAACTAAATGAAAACAAAGCCCCCATGGGAGAGCACCAACGTCATTTGATAAGTTCCTTTGGGAACCTGGAATCATCATGTTGCAGTTGTGTTTTGGCAGCCTTGTGTGATAAAGTCCCAGGAGACCAGGTTTCAAATCCTTGCTTGGCTGCACTGACTGACCTTCGATAAGTCACACTCTCTCACCTGCACAGGAAGGCAATGACAGACGCGGAGGTCTGAGGCACACCATTTTTTAAAATAAGCATGACAACTGGGCAACAGAATTGATCCAGTAATGCAATAAGGTGGGCAGGTGCCCCAAATTTGATTTTTGACTACCTTTAGTTTCAGATTGGACAAATGATAAGAATAACTCACCATTATAATGTGGATGCCTGAACAAAAATAGAATGTGAAAACTTAAATATGCAGCAGATAGCAATTAGGGAA